AATTAGCCACGAGGAAAGGGGCGCAAGAAAGATCAACTGTTCCGCCGACAGTGAGCCAAATTGCTGAATAATAATCACACCACAAATAGTAAGGCTAAGTGGCGAAAGCGTCAGTCAGGCCGGAGGCAATCTCGCTTGTCCGACGCTGCATGCATTTCCGCCGACTGAGAATGAAGGCGAAGGGGGGAGTAGGGGGCGGGCTTGGGGCTGTGAAGGGCGCGTTCGCCACACGTCTGCAGTCAGGGTCTCACGCCTGCGATGATCCGGTGTTGGCTGCTTTCGACGCGGCGCAACAACTGCCCTTTTTGAAGGAGGGAGGGTGGCTGTAAGCCAGTCAGACTGGCATTTTTCGCCAGACAAACAGGTCGTCTGGCTAGCCACGGCAGTTAGATCCGTGCCGTTTACCGACTGCCCTGATCATCCGTTTTTACTGCTCGGAGAGAGAGAGAGGGCGATAACCTTTATCGCGGGGATTTTGTACCGCTGATGATTATAGCATTGCCGGCAAAGAAAGGGGGAAACTGGAGTGGCCGTTTCTGACTCATTAGCTGTCATCAGCCAGTCATGCCCAACCCGAAGTAGAGGTTCGAACCCGCGACCTTTCTGATCAGCAGTGTAACGCTCTAAGCATTGATCCATGAGCTTGTTGCTTAGATCGGGGATTATTGACCCTCGTTGATGAACATTCACCGATCGTTAACGGTACTCATCCATCCCGCTCTGCCTTGGGGTCATTCTCGAACCCCGCCAGCTGCCGCATTGCCGGCAAAGACAGCGCGACAAGTGAGTTCCGTTGGCGTTTGGTGAACGTTCATAAACTATGACGATGATGGGGATGCCGACTGTGGTGTTTTCGCCTCTCAACTCTTAATAGTCCGACAAAAGTCTTGCATATTTTATAGTTTACAGTGGATCTCCTTTGTCGTTCCGCACGATTTGGGAGTCCCATAACATTCCAAAGCTCAATGTACATTTGTTTTCTCACATATATTGTCCCTTCTGAATTATAACTACAATTACTGCTACTATTCTAAATCCTAATTTAAAATAAAACAAGTTATTTATGTAGTGCAGACAATCTGCGAGTTTGTGTCACAAAATTCGTAAGCTGAAGTCTTCTGGAAAAGGCTAACGTGTGGTTATTCAAACCTCATCCTCATCCGCCAACTGATAGGCCATAGATGCAATTTAGCAGAGATTTGGCGTTGAACAGCCCCCGTCTAATTCAGTTGCTTATATCCTCATATTTAGCCTGCGTCAGGTGGATGTGGAGTTTATGCGCCACCTGCAAAATAAGGTGAATATTGTGCCAGTGATTGCCAAAGCCGACGCCCTCACCGCTGCCGAGCTCCGCGACCTCAAGGATCGGATCATGTCTGACCTGGATCGATACAAGATCGACATCTACCGCCTGCCTGAGTGTGACAGCGATGAGGAGGAGGAAATCAAGCGCCTGGACAAGGAAATCAAGGTAACCCCCCTTCTCCCTTCTCATCCAATCCCTCTTCTCCTACCCCCTTCCCCTGATTTACGAAGCAAAGCGACTTCGTGGCCTTTATGTATACTGGTATTTGATTTGATTACCTCCTCTTGTTGGATGAATCGACCTCACGAATGTCACGGATAGCGGCGGCCCACTGGGGGGCGATCGGAGAAGAGCTCGTAGCAAATGTCAATCCAGTGCTTGTTCCAGTATCCACTGTTCGGCAGAATTGATTGATGCATCACCCAGTCGATCAAAAAGTTGAAGAGCACATGGGAAATAGGGCATCCTTGCCAAACTCTAGAAGTCAGTGGGAAAGAATCTGACTCTTAATCAAGAGTTCTTACTCGGGCTGGTGTTCTGCTATATTAGGTTTTGATCAACTTGAGCGACTTTATTGGAAGACCGTCAATAAGCCGTATTTGCCATAAGGCTTCTGTCGAAGGAATCAAAGGCGGTCTTTAAGTCAATTAAACGGGTGATGGTGGTCTTTTGCTTCTGGTGTCGGTGTTCCAGTATGCGGCACAGAATCAAGATTTGGTCAACACATTCTCCACCTGGACGAAACCCTCCGACCACTCTTCTATTACACATCTTCGATTAAGCGCAATTTACGCACTCTCCTTCCCCTACTTAACAAAGCAAAACGACTTCCTGGCCTTTCATGTGCTTGGCGGTACTAAAGTCACAATGACTCACATTGGGTGGCTTTGGCTTTAGCTTCTTTCCCCCACACCACTCTCGTTTCCTCTGTTTTTTGGCTGCCGCTATTCGTACCCACTCGTTGTAATGCATGAATCATCCACCCTCGGCGTGACTGGCCTGCGACAGGCAGCCTTACAGCCGGTCTTACGTGTCCTGTCTGCATGACACGCTGTCGGAGGCAGGCAGGAGTAACAACAGGCAGTCGGCCTCGTCATTGCTGCTAAATCACCCTTGGCTGGATTTTCTGCCATGCAGACTCCTCGTCCCTTATTTGGGGTCCGGCGAGTTGCACCCCCCTAATCCGTCATGCGCACCGGGTGTGTGTTAACTAGGTTCACGCTCCTGACTGTAGATTAACGCA